ATATTATAAATAATTATTATTCCTCAAGTTTATCAGAAAAGTAAATCGGCTGGCAAATTTTAAAATACAGTGATTTATTAGATTTTCGAAAATTTCAAATGGCTGCCATTTCTAAACTATTTGATGGATTCAGCTCATTTTTAAACTCATCCAAGCTAATTGTCTATAGAATAAGTCTACCAAGTTTCATAAAGATTCATTAAGAATTGTGGGAGTTATCGTGTCCACAAGCTGTGCGTTATATTATAAATATATATATATAAACTTCCAAACCAACGTCATTTTTAAGCCTTACTCGACTAAATAATTGATATAGTAACGAAATTCTGTGTAAATTTTGACACAAGGGCCAATGCAATAGATAGATTTTATGAAATCTACCTAAAACTAGATATATTTTAATAATAAATTTACAACCCGTATTTTTTTTTTTTGTAATTAAAGTATCGAGTAGTATGAGCTGATGTTAACAATGGCTACCGGTTTATAATAAGAATTCTTTAAGTAGTTTTTTCAATGATACAGATAATGAACCACCAATAGAATTGCAGCATGAAGAGGGGATAATTTTGGGTTGTATTGATACGTGCTTTACTTAAAAAATATTTTTTCAGCTCATTTTTATAAATTTTGTTATTAATTCTTGTTTAATACTACTAAATATTTACGTAAATTAAAATACTATTTTTTTAGATGTACTTTTATCTCTGTCAAAACTAGAATTTTATAGTTTATTTATCATCTCGAATACGTCAATTTTAATCACAATCAGTTGTTAAGTTTTCTTATCATTTTTGTGCCTTTTTTACCTTATATTGAAACTAACCAAACTGTGCATACATAATTGAGAAGTCAATGGTTTTTTATCGATCGTTATTCTATCTTATTAATTCACTTAAATAATGTACAATATTAACCGCAAGGTATCAACAACGATAATAAGTAAATATCATTGTAAACTATTATAGATTCCATTATATATTTTTGTTTAATTTTATTACAACTTATTTCTTACTAAGCGTTGTGCCAGATAAAACCAATTAATGTCAAAATTCAAACATTAATTAACAATTAACAGTATTTTTCATTGAATTTTTTTTAATGGAAAGATTAAATAATGGCTTATATATACTATTTTATCATTATTATGTTATTTTTTTTTTACTCAGAAATAATTGCAACTGATAGCAACTAAAAAACTTTATTACGAAAAATAACTAACTTATATGTTTCTATAAAAAAAAAATTAAATTGAATTCTAAAAATTTATAAATTGTCAATTGTAAAAAAAAATGTAATTGTTTTATTGAAATATTTAATACTCACAAGTTCATATTGAAAGTAATTTTGTAAATGGAACTTAATCGTAGCAGCGAAACCGATGAGCTAAAGGAACGGGCGTACCTAATTAAATGTACACTTTCATGTAATGCAAAGCTAATTAATCGAGAGAAATTTTTTTCATATGCTTAAATTAACTTATTTACTGTATTCCCTTAAGACTTTTACGCACGATATAATAATAATAATAATAATAATAATAATAATAATAATATCAATAATAACAATAATTACACGGATAACTAGATTGGCTCGTCCTTTTATTTAACATTTTTTTTGTATTCACATTCACGCAGATATACGAAAGTCAATTCATATGGAAGTTCCGGCGCCAAAACTTCAGTCCATGCAGTTCTCGATTACGACGACGACGGTGATGAAACGAATTCCAACGACGAGTATTACGACGAAAATATTCCACGTGATCCGCGTGTTACACCTATTCAAGGACCGATATATGTTAAAAACGGATCTGTTCCTGTTGTTCCACTTTATTCGTATCAGCAGTACAATAATGGAAGTTTCTTACAAATACCTGTAAGTCATTAACAATTATTTCATTTAGTTCATTAATTTATTACAAATTTACACTATGTACACTTACGGTTTATCGATGTAATAATTTATTAAATTACATACTCATATAATTAATTTTAACGTGTCACTCGCACGGTTTCTATGCCGTAGGTTCTAAACCAATTTAATAACGAATGACGTCAATCACTATAATTATAAATAATGACGATAACTTTGTCAATTTTCAAATTTTATAATTAGGTTTTGATTAAGTTACAGTTTTCATTTTTTTTTATATTAATATTTTCGACTTACACAAAATTCTTTTTCAAATAATTCATAGGTAAATTCTTTACTTCGATGAAATTAAACATTAAATTTTAATGAAAATTTTCAACCGACCTTGCCACATGTCTGAGGTCAAAATTTTAAATAAAAAATATTTTCGGTATCATGTGACTACGGTTTCCTTATTCGGTGCAAATAAATATATACGTAAACGATGAAAAAAAAAAAAAAAAAAAAAAAAAAAAAATATTAACCATCAAATGTAACTGGAGTCTTCCGTTGGTGCAAGGTCGTAACACCCGACGACATTGGCAAACGAGATCGGTTCTTTGGCCCTTTCGCTCTTTAAACTCCCCGAGATTCCAAATCTACAGATCTATGGATTTCTTTTTATTTTATCGTGAAAAAAAAATTACAATAATAACATTATTCTAAAAAATAAATAAATAAAAGGCTTATGTGTTCCATTAATGTCAAGCTGTGGACATGACAAGATGCTTTTTCTCTCTACTTGTTTTAAATTTTTTATCCGTGACAGGAAGGACGTTATTTTGTATGGGTAATTGAGTACCAAGTGTTACAGATCAGACATAATTAGCTTTTATATATTTATGTATTTAAAACTTATGATAATATTTTTACTTTATAATTGAGCAAATAAACAAAATAAAAAATCCGAGGATATTAAACAATGGAGTGTTTTTTTTTTTTAAGTATATTTGGCAAATGCGTAATCCTTAAAGCGAAATACGAAATACGATTGATATTTTTTTCCATAAATCTTTTCAAAGATAATAAAGTGTATTCATAAGAAAAGAAAGCGAGTGACCTTACTTTTTTTGTACTCATTTTTCAGTAATTTCTCCACTCCATCGTCTCTTCTTCCTGCGCAATATAAAAAACTAACTAAAAAACCTTTACATTAGTCTTGGCACCGATTCAGTTTGGATAGAATTAATGAAACAAAAAATATAAATCTAATTTATTGTGTTTTACTTCAAATTAATTTAACCCGTTAAATTTTTTATGTAACCATCAATCAATTAAAAATTTAACAACCTTGTTATATTTTATGTACATTAAATTATCATATTTTTTCTTCCACTTATACTTATTATTAACAAATAATTCATTACACGTTAAAGTTTTATTTAAAGTATTAAATATTTGGCGCCGCGGATCCCAGATATGTCTGACCGCGTAATAAACATCAAAAAAGTATAGTAGCTTATAATTTATTAAATATTTATTGTAAACTATAAATTCATATCTATTAGCATCCATTCAGTAAAAATGATAAGCTACCTAGTGTAATACAGATTTATATATTTATATTATTATATAGAGACCTCAAACAAGAATAACTACCGTAGATTGTCTAATCGGTTCAATGTCGATTTCGATTCCATTGCGCTCTTTTATTATCCTTTCACCATTCGGGCCCGCTTATAAGCCGATTTTATATTATAAGCTTTGATACTCAATATTACATGTTATGTACTATATCCACTGATCGTATCATTTTCACCATTCAGTGCGATATTATGCCTCTGTGTTTCTCTATAATCTATACTATACACACTAATAATAACAATAATAGACACGGCCCACTCGAAATAAATATTTTATTTTATTTTATATGACTGTTATTAATTGTTGACAGTTTTACTTCTATGAGTAACTTTTTAAGGTGGGATAATAAATGACTCATTGTTTTTCATGTTAATTAATTTTAATTAAATCTAATCATTAGATTTACTATTAAAATTTTTCATTTTTATCAATCGAATAATAAAATTGATTTCTAAATAATTATAAATTAAGTTTTATAATTAACTTGATTGACTAAGAGAGTGAATTTTTTTTTAAATCCAATAATTAATTTTAAATATTCGTTTATTACTTTATAATTCGCGTAATAAATTAAATTAATAATTGTAAAAGAAATAAAATATATATTTGAATAAAAAAAAAAAAATTAAGATTTTTCAAAGATATTAATTTTAAAAGAGTGGCTAAAAAACTTCCAGAAAAACTGGTTTTTGTGTCTCGAGTTGTCGCAGAATTTGAGAGTATGAATTTTTAATTTATTTCTAAATTAACTTACAAATGCCGGTAGCGTATCGCGGAGTTTTGTTTGAATATTTATTGTTAAAATTATCATTCTTCATTCTTTTTTTATTTTGGGTTATAAATAATAGAGGGAGATTTCGTGACTAATATCTGATATCGAGAATCTGGAATTTGCAACAGATAAAAAGTTAGTAAACAGAAGTAAATTATTATGTTCATTATTAAAATACAGATGAGTAATATCGTTTTATTATTATATTTTTTTTGTGTAAATAAATATTTATTTGATAAAATATTGGTTTTCAAGCGTGAAACGTGAACGTGAGATGTTTTACGATTGATGTCCATAGTGGAAATATTCATGACATAAGTGAAGGATATTTTACATTTAACACGTTTGAACGTTATCTGTACAGTGTACACGGTATTCAGATACTCGTCCATCCAAGTCTCATTAAATATGATGATAAGATTAAGCAGATACTTTGTAGCTAAATCGATGTTTGTTACCTATAAGAGTAGGTATATGTGCAGAGAATTTGAGAGTGTAGATAAATTTGTTTGTATGTGAGTGCGAGAGTAATGGCTTGCACATTTATAAGTTTGTACTCCAGCTATTAACTTAATTCAAACTATAAATGGTGAGTTTAATTTCTATTACCTTCACTTTAGAGCATTTATTGTTTCTAAAACTCTTTAACGTAATTGAAAATTTATCTTGCGCCACTTTTTCTCAGTTATTGATTTTTTTTAATCGTTAGGGCTTTTCACACTCAATTTAACTGTAATTAAATCCCACAAGTAATTAAAAGAGATCATTATTTAATAATGTAACTCTGTAATAAAATCAAATTCTTTTACAGTGCATTTTATAGTTTTTAAAATAAGAATATCACCGATTAAATTAACAAATTATCCTTTAATTTTATTGAAAAAATTTTTAACATCTCAAATAATGAAAAAATCGCAATAAAAATAAACTAAGTGATTTTTCAACTAAAAATATTTTATTTAAACATGAACAGAAAAAATTGTATACGATATTTGTAAAGTAATTTAAACATTTTTAATTGTTTAAATATTAACTCATTATAGACGATAAATAATAAAAAAAAATTTCATGGTAATAAAAAATAAAAAAAACTGAGTTAAAAAAAATCGTACAGCTACGCGGTGTTATTTTAAGTGAAAGAAAAATTTTGCATTACAAAAGAAACAATTTATTTTCCCTAAATTTGGTGAGATGAAAAAAATCAGCTAATTTTACAGTCTCATTACCATAACTTTTATACAAAATAAAAATTAAAAATAAAACATACATGAATTTCCGGTAGTAAATCCTTTATGAGTAACGCCTCAACGTATGTAGTAATAATTCTTTAAGAATATGCCGCAATATTGTCACTTAATTTGTAAATTCTCCATACAATATAATACCAATACCACGAATGAGTCGGGTAATAGGGTCATTAACGCTCGCCGACAAAATGTACCCGCGCGTCTTATCCACATCGTTTGTTACGTTATTTACATACAGCTCATGCTAATGTGTGTATTCAGTACCGATGGTTCTATTATATCGTAAAAAAAATAGTCAAAGTCGAGGACACATGACAAGTTTTTTAAGCACTGTTTACTTAATGGGCCCACGAGTGATGTTTATAGACTAATTTTTGCTCCGATCCTCGAATTCTTAATTGTTTATTTTTCATTTTTATTATATACGATCAGTGAACCCAGAATACATGAACATTTCGTTGAGCTTGATTGACTCGAGCCTTGAAACGACTTATCAAACGTCTCATTTCTTAACTCGAGGGCCAGATAGGACAAACAAATATATGCACTGTATACCTATGTCCATTCGTAAATGTCAACTGTATTTATATTACAATATATTTCATTAGTTACCGACGTTTACTTTAAACAATTATTGTGTCTTTAACTCTCATATTTATTTATAAAATAATTAAACCTTTTCAGATTCTATGGACCGCGCTGTCAGTGGCATTGGGTGTCGAGCTGCATGGCGACGTTGTCAAAGGTACACCTTGCATCAAAAAATACCATCAATTATTCTGCCCGACTGCCGGTAAAACATATCCGAAGTACGATATTACAGATGGAGTATTATCATATCATTGTATCAACACAGCCATTTAGTATCAAGTAAATTAATAATTCTTATTTTTTCAGAGAAAGAATAGAACTTTTTATCGATGAAAATAAAGCGTTAATGAAGCGTATGTACGGAGATTTCGAAACCGACAAGGATCACGGCCCAGGAACGAGTTCTTCGGCCAAAAGAAGAAAAAGAAGATCCTTTGATCCAGATCTTCCTGACGGGGGACCGAGTCTTGGGAGAAAAAATATTGAAGACTCAAAATATGTCAGAGGAGGCGACTCTTACTTTGAACATATTCGAAATCCGCGACAGCTGCCAAAAAATAATCACAGTGATAGTGGAAGGTAATTTAAATAATTAAAAACTCAAAGATATTTCAATTTTTAATTTAATAAATAAATAATCTATTACTAAAATAATTTATTTTATTAGATTGGATGTTTGTGAATCAAAAACAGAAGTTGTAACTCCTTATTGGGCGAGCAATAGTGCTGGAAAAATACGCGCTGTCGTCAATACTCAACATTTTGAGCAAGCTATTCATCAAGAAGTTTGTTCGTAAGTGTTTACTATTTTTTTTTTTTTTTTTTTTTTTTTTTTTTTTATTTAATTAATTAACATTTTCATTTGGTGTTTAGAATAAATCTACTTAATTGGACAATGAGATTAAACTAATTTTTTTTTATTCATCAAATAAAGGAAAACTCAAACAAATCGATGCACAGGAGGTTGTGGCTGCGAGCAAAAGTACAAATGGCACAGGCTGCTCGCTTATGACCCGGATGACGATTGCAAAGGTATTTTTATGGACTGGTTTCTCTTTCCGTCCTGTTGCGTTTGTCGGTGCGATCCGCATGCCAAGTTTCCCGGCACTGGCACTGCTACCGGTACCGGTACCACCACGAGTTCCAGCTCCAGCACCAAGGCTATGACCAACCGCAGCGGTTGATTTTATTCCTATTATTTTATTTTATTTTCTCTATTTTTATTATATCAACTTTTTACCCTAACTTTTGGCTAGTAAAGCCGAGAAAACTTTTATCTATCAAAGTTTTAAAACTTTTGGTATTTCTTTAATTTTCAATTATCCTCATACTTTTTTCTTCCTTTTTATTCTTTAAGGATCTAAGTAAATATTGTAGATTTTTTTTATGCATAAGTCCAGATATTTTTAATAAGATTATTGTCAAGGTTTTTTGCCAATGACGATAACGTTATTGCGAGTCGGGAATGATGCAATTAATTAGATAATTTGAATTGTAATTATTTTAGATTTTATATTGTAGTAATTATACATATTTTTTAAGAATAATTATGAATGTAATTTTTTTTTATAAATATAATTTTTATGTACACTGTAAATAATTAAAAATATTTTTAAAGATCAAACCTGTAATTTGCATTTTAAAAAATTAGGAATAAATAATTATAAAGAAATTGAAAATATTTATTTAATTTTATTATTGAAAAAAAATAAAATAAAATTTAACTGAAATTATGAGTAGAATATTATATGAAATTAGTGTTTTATCGAGAGAAAATTGAAGTAATAAAAAAAAAATAATATTGGGTAAAAGTTTTAAAATTAATAAAATCAGTATAAACCTGAAAGTTTAACTAATTATAAGAGTTAGTGATATTATTGTATAATAAGAATATTAATATTGATAAAAGTTTAATTTAAATGAGCAAAGTAACATCTAATCAAATAACTTCAGGTGAAATAGTTGTATATAATAGTGTAATTTGAAAACTGTTTTCCCAAGATCGAAAAGTTGGTCTAGTCATGTACTTATAAATATACTCACGTCTGTGTAACTCAATGAAACTTCAAAGGTCCTTAGGGTCTCAAAGTCATTTTCTAACAAACTCAAGCTCAAAGTGTCGAAGAACCAGGAACGAAAATAACTCGATAACGTGTATGTGTGAAGTAACTTTATGACGAAAGAGAAGAAATATTATTTATTGTATTGCATGTTATCAAGCAGAGGTAGTCTTTCACTAAAAATTTATTCGACTTACCTTTGTAACAAAAAATCAAAATAATATTTCATCAATCTCTAATATTTAAAGAAAATAAAATAAAATAATTCAAGATGTCAAAACTTGATTATAGCCGGGTGATATATAGAGGAAAATGTTTTGATTGAAAATAGAGCTGTGCATACAAACTTTCATCTAAAAATAAATTTATAGAAGTTCTGCGATTTATCGGGATTTTCTTTCAGAAAATAGGCATCGAAGTTAACTCCAATGCCGTGTGTTAAAATAATCCACGACTATAAAATATATATTTGTATCGAAGTAAGTATAGGTATGAGTCTAAAATATAAGGATAGAATGATACCTAAAATACCGAGCTGTCAACTTGACGGATGAGAAACTGCCAGTTTACCACAGTGTAATTCAGCATAGATGCCGACTCCCACACTAAGATTCGGCCAGCGGAGAGCTGAGTATAAAATCGAGTACGTTACATTCATAATATACATTACACATATATGATGTATATGTTCAGAGATTGTATCAGTGTAATCGGCGCTATTGCTATTGCCAGTGGCCTTGGCATCAAAATTATCATATATACACCACACTGACTAGACGCGCAATTCCATTTGTACCACGAAAAATTCATAACTGTATTAAATAATAATAAATATTGTAATATTCATAATCATTATTATTATTAAATAAGAAATATGAGAAATGTGGTCGCCTGGTTTCTTGGTTATTGTGTGATCAAAACTTATGAACCTTTCCCACAACTGAAATCACTCGGTAATTTTCGACTGGAAAATGCTTTATTTATATTAAAATATTTTAATTGTACAAATATATCGATAAATAATTACAATCCTGTAAGAATTAATTTTATTGATTAAGAATAAATAAATAAAAATAAAATTTTTATTTAAATCCACGGACGCGAATTTACTTAACAAATATTTTTTAATTTTGCAATTATTTCGCCCGTAGGTTTATTTGGACGGATTTCTGATAAGCCACGTATTTTTTATTATACTTTATATTTTTGTATCGTTGGTTGGGTTTCTTTGCATGTTATTTCGCTGTTTATTCATTTTCCTTGTTTGCTATTTTACGCATGAGAGCACTTTCGTTTAATGCGGTGGCTGATACGAAAAAAGGGCGTCGCGCAGGTGTTGTAAATAATATCGTACGGAGGAAGTATAAGATATACATATAAATATAAAACAGTCTACCAGCGAGTATGAATAAGGGGGATATATAATATAGACTAAAAAAGTTACATGATTTATTATTATTATTATTATTATTATTATTGATATTAATATTATTATCAATATTATTAATATTATTAATGTTATTATTGAATGTGAAAAAAAAACTTTTTTGTTAAAGTTTGTACCAGCGGTGCAAATATGCGCCCTTTAATATAGATAATAAAATAATAAAATCATTTTTGGTTTATAAATATACATAAAATAATTATTTAAAACTGTTAAAAATTATGTTTTTTTTTTTTTTCTAAATAAATGTAAAGAAAAATAAAACAAACAAATAACACATAATATTAAAATATACAAATAAATTTTCCATTTCTTTTCTTATCGTTATAATTATAATATATATTTAATTGACGTTAGTGATTAAATATATGTTATATATTAAATACTCCATTTCCAAGAGACTTACATTATTTGTTCGGTGATTTAGTTGTACATAAAAGCTCCCAGAAGCTTTTATTGCAATACTTAATCTAAGTAACACTCAGTAGGTGTAAACGCATTAATTTATTTGAATAGATTAAAATTTATGTTGAAGGTATAGTAAGTGAAACTTTGGTTCCCTTTTTATTTAAAGGCTGAATTACTTCAGGGTGGGCAAAATATAAGCCCCGATAAAAGCAACTGCGGAAATTAAGAAAACTTGTGAACCAGACAATGAAGTCGCGGAGTTGCAGAGATCGGTGCTGCAGATGTGACAAGATACCATGGTCACGTGGCTGTGAGTTGTGTCATGAGCCGCACAAGGTCCCTCTTTTATGTCACGTTCTTCCGGTCCGGGAATTTCGCACGAACGTCGGACAACGAGTCTTCCATTTTCTATGCAAAAATAGTTACATTGTTATTATTATAATGTGGATAAGAATAAGAATATAAATGATTGGGAAGATAGAGAACTAAATTTTACTACTTGAATGTGATTTGACGGTTATTACCGTTTATTATATTATTTCTTGTCATAATAAGTAATAAATGGTCAATAATATCTATCATGTATTCTAAATTGAAATCACAATTGATTTCTAAAAATAATTTTATTATTTTATTTTTTCTCTCCAAACTAGGAAAAATTTTTTTGCATCTCGTCTGTATATTGTTGAAAATTTTTTTTATATTTAAACTAACAATAAAAATAAATCTATTATATTGAATTGCTTAATAATTCAATTTCAAATAACAATAATGCAACCCTTCTGATATTTATTTACGTTTTATATTGAGTCTGTTTGAATAAAAATAAACAAATTATCTCAAAAGTTACTTTCACTCTTTTTACAATTGAAAAAAAAAAAAAAAATTAAGAGACTAATTGCACTCCATTCGCTTTTAATAACAATTAAAAATAATATTGGAAGCTACAGAATGAAATAAATATGAATAATTATTTCAGGGTGTGGTTAAATCCTTGAAGAATCTCTAATTATAAACATAATCAAACGTAATGAGTCACTAGAACATAATAGCCGATACTAAACAAAACAATGTGTCGAGATTCCGGTTGGGTTGAACAGTTCTAATTGTTAATATAACACGAACGGCATTATATTGTCCGACTACTGATGGCATAAAAATTAAATAATGAAATTGTAATGAGTGATTAAGAAACTCTGCTCAGTATTAACTGCTTTAAATAAGAATACGAATAAATGGAAAAATATGTTTTATCGCAAGCATCCAGCGTGCGTCATCCTCGGAATTAAATGTTCTCACGTCCAAGCAAAAAATTCACTTGACTCCCACATAAAAATTATAAAATGCATTTATTGTTTTATTTAAAACTAAAATACTGGGTTAAATTTTTTCGAGATAATAATTAGTGACATGACTTCATGGATATGTCTGTCGACGATTACGCTCAAGATCAGAGCCATTGAATTGTTTACAGTAGGCGAAATTAAATAAGAATTAATTCAGCAGGAAATTCGCTAATTGTACATGATAAATAATAATGACACAAGACATTATAATGAATTAAGTTTTATAGGTTTAAATATTAAATATGCTTATTTGCATCCTCAAGGTTGAAGTAGTTACGGCTCGGACGCTCAGACAAATTCATTTCGCAACTATTTTTATTTTTTCAGTTCTTCAAATATTAATCTTATTATCAAGGAATTCAATATAAAAAATTAAATAAAAAAAAAAATCACTTTTATTACCTTTCTGGACAATTTTTTTACAGACATACTTCTCGTTGTAGATGTAAGAATTTGGATTGGCGTTAGACTCGCAATCACGGGTGTGGAAAGTTTGATGGTGGCTGGTAACATTAAGCGGATCGCCACAGGTGCCTGGTTGATCAGAAACGCAGCTCCAGCATCGCAGAGACTCGCCTGTTAATTTTTTAAAATATACCTCGTAAAACGAAGGAACTTTATTGCTCAAACTACTTAATCATCAAAAAATTTATATCTCTACAAGACATTAAAATAACACTGCAGCTCATAACTCTGTTTTTACTAAATTGTTTTTCTTATTTTAAAATATACCCTCGGGTAACTATTTCTGATAGAAAAAAAATTTACCTTCATTTTGCTTGTACTTTCTTTTATTTTTATTATTCTACGAAGGCAACTCGGTGTAAAGAAAAAAAGGGAAAACTGTAACGAATAAAAAACTTTGAAATAGTTGGTTATGCAAGAATGAATCCGTCGAATGCAATATAAATATAGAAGTATTACCGGGAGATAAAAGCCTAACAAAAACTCCGTGAAAATTTTATCTTAAAAATTTTTTTATTTTATTGAAATAAATTCACTAAAAATTTTTTATTTTTATAACTGTATTATGACTAATAAATAAAAACTAGTTATCAAAAAATGATGAAATATTTAATATTAATAATTCAGATACTGAATTTACATATTTAATTATGATTAATAAATTTTCGTAATCAGTCAGTATATGTTCACAATTAGATAGCAAAAATTATCATCGAACTGATTGAATTTTTCGGTTTGAGCAATATGTGATAAAATTTATTTTCTGTTTTAGTAATTATCAATTTTGTTTTATTTCAGAATCAAAAAAATTGATTGTTCTATGCATGTAAGTTTTTCAAATAAAAAAAAAAAATAAATAAATTTTCTCCATACGAAATTTTCTATTGAAGAGGAAAAAAATTACATAATTATTATTATATATACTTGTTAGTGTTATTATCATTGAATATGTGATGATAAAAAATCAAGAAACAAGTGTCTAGTGTAATATATATTTATATATCATAAGCAATAATGACAACTGCTCACAAGTAGTTTACCTTTGCATAACATGTTAGCGTTAGTTACACCCGATCGCTATACGCCTTTGGTACATATAGAAATATCTATTATACGTCTAATATATAACACACGTGTAAATCTGTGCACGTACACAATACAAAGAGAGAGAGAGAGAGAGAGAGAGAGAGAGAGAGATAGACGTTGAAACTATTTTTGCGGAGTAGCAAGTCTATGAGTCATGTTTATTTTTTTCCTCTTGAGCGAGTATTATTCTTGCTCATTTAATTCAGCAGTTTTTAAATTTACTATTATTTTACTTATTTAAATTTTGTTGTTTTATTTAAACGTTCATTCAACAGTTTCGCTGACTCGAGACAACAATTATAATTATATACTAAACATAATAATAGCTTTTATTTAATGTCCCAAGTATTTAAACTCCGTTACGTCCTCGCGCTCGATTTACATCAATAGTTCTATTCGGTAAAAACAGAAAAAGTTGCGTAGCATTATTACATATATATATACACGGCGGCAAATAAAAAGTGCGTGCTAGTTTTTGCTGATATTACTGCACGAGTCTCCAAATGAAACTATTTTACGTCAAGAATTTTTTTACTTTCCATAGTTATAAATATAGATTGTTCTTTATTTACAGTTCTAGAATTTTTACGACCTAATTACTGACGTTTTGACATTTTAAAGTAAATAAAAAAAAATATTTCACCTAGATCGCAATATTTAAATTTCTGATTATTAAACGAGGTTTCATTTTGTTTTGAGCTCTGCTGATGTTATTATTTACGATTGACCGTCACGTGTTCTCAAACGCCGACAATAAATCATAAAATAATTAAATTCAATTAACCAATACGTCCAGCTTTTAAAATTATTTCTTTAATCAGCAATTATAAAAATAATTAATAATTTTTCCAATTAAATCTTAAAGCTAAGTTGAATAAAAATAAAATAAAGTAATTACCTGATTGTACAAAGAAAGCAAATGCAACAACTGCAAGGATCCAAACATAATTCAACGCCATGGTAATTCGCAGAATTCACTCAATAAATATTATTAGTATATTGTTATGAAATAAGACTGATGAGACCGAATGTTTAGTAGACAGTGGTCACGCTCGTACTGATGCTGTCCGAGTGTTTAAACTGTCTGGACGCGACAACAAGTAGTATAGTAGCAGACGTAAAACTAAACCGGGGACATGGATCAGGGAATTGCAGCGTGGTATGGAGGAGAGCGCAACTCACGACACTCCCTGCCTTGCCTTATAGATGTAATGGTCATTCGCTAATATTACGTACTGCGTACTATACCACGGTACACATGGTGGCACACTATTATATGGACAGGATTGGATAGTAGCAATACACATAAAACTACTACCATTACTACTTGGGCTCACAGTGTACCGACACAGCCCCTCCGCTGCCTAGAAGTATAACCAACCACCATACTTTTATTTACTATCGCGTTGTCCTCGGTAACGTTAATCACCATCATCATTGCGTTAATAATTATTATTTTATTTTATTGGAATAATAATAATAATAATAATAATAATAATAATAATAATAATAATAATAATAACAACATTGATGATTATAGTAGCATCATAGGGGTACATATATGTGTGCGATTAAATTGAGATGAATGATGAGACGTCGCGATGAATGTTACAGTATTAATGCCAAGAAGAGTCTCCACGATTTCAGATAACTGTTGATGCGTATAGTTACGAAATCTATACCTCAGAAATCGTCACCGACCGAGCGGAAATTTTTCAATCGATGCGTCATAACTAAATTGATGATCTGTCTTTTGTGCGAATCATATCCGATGGTTTAGAAATTATACTATTTTATGCACGGAAGTTATGAATAGAAAAAATTAATAAATTGTTTATTGAAAGGGTTGAAACGAATAGGTTGTAATTATAGGCGACAAAAAAGAATTTTCTAAAAAGCGACATTTTTTACGCAGATGAAAAAGTTTAGCCAGGTAAAAAAATTAAGAAAAAAGATCTAGTCGTGATCTAAAATTTTTCTTCAAGCAAAAAAATTTAACTTTATCTAAGATAAATATTTTTTTGAATTAACAGAATTATTTTTACTCAAGAATTCACTTTTTTATACATTTTAAAGAATTTCACAATACTTTATTGAAAAATTGATGTTTTTCTGACCTTTCGGTTGCTGAAATTTTTTATTGTTTATTATTTTTAATTTTTTTTCATCATCAACATTTGTTTTGAATTATATTAAAGTATTGAGGACATGAAAAAATTTCTCTCTAAATTATATTTATTGAAATCAAATATCCAACAGACGCCTTTTTCAGAAAAAAACGATAACTAGACTCCAAAATGCTGGGAAAGAGATTATAAAATTTCATGCAGCTGTACAAGTGTACTCGAATCTTGGGCCTGAACACTTATCAGGCTTACCCCAAGAACAAAGACCTTATACAGGGCCATGAATTTTATTAGAGAGGAAGTTTCTTTCACAGATCTAAGTAAATTTAAGGGTAATGATGATTAAAATTAGATTTTGGTAAAATAGATAAATGTGATTTTAAAATAAAAATTTATATACATTAGAGGGACATAATAAATAAGTTAACAAAAATGATAATTAAATAAAATAACAACAAATAAATAGATAATAATGTCAATATTAAAAAATGGGAGTACAATTTAATAAAACAAATATATAAATAACTAAGTAATCAAATAAACAATTAAATAATGCTTAATATATAATTGAGTAAAAAGTATATAAACGATTAAATTAAATAAATAGTTAATCAAGCTCAAGAAACTCCCAGTTGATTAATCAATTGATAAAATAAAAATTATTTATCGGGACCTTAATTATCATTATTGATGGTATAAAAGAAAATTATATAAATATGACTTATTAATGTAGGTTAAATATTTCAATTTGTCGAGTGGATCAGTTAGCAAACACTTCTGGATTAAATTTCGGGTTTGCGTATTAATTTTATTTTAGCACGTGTTTGATGTACGATAATTAAATTTGAGTGATGTTTATTTAGAGTTTTGACGTTTGATTGAATATCAACCGTATAATAACGATCGTTTTTAATAATAGAGGTTGTTTGTTATTTTCTGGATAGCTTTACAATCATTGAATGAAAAGAGTGTCAATTTCGTTGTTATTTGCCATTCAGTAATGTCCGGTCTAGTGGATACCAATTGCTTTATGGAAAATCATTCAATTACTAACGAGCAATTCCATGATAAATGAATTAGGAGTTATAGAGGAGTGTTATTAACCTTTAGAACTTTGGTTTTAAAATAGATGACCTATTAGTAACGTTCAAGTATATTTAAACTGTGTCATTTTATTATTCAGCTCAATTTTATAACTATCCAGCCAAATTATAATTTATGTTAATAAGTAAAAAAAAATTTTTCAACATAAATACAATATTTTATTTACTAAAATTTACATAAAAAATCCACAATTTATTTTCACAGATTATTTAAAATAAATAAATAACATCGACACAAATACCACAATAAATTATTTCCGTAGCTTAGTTCAACTTAATAGAGCTAATCAATATTTGATAATTAATAATCACTCATATTATATATAATAGTATATTAATCTTCAGAGCTTGCATACAATCAGTAGAAGCACCTATTAATCTCCGACGCTTAATCCGAAATAATTATAGATACGTAATTCTAATTAATACGTGCTCTCTGCTCCGCTTAGCTCTTATACAATTCTCATTTACCGTACATCCATTAAATTCTCCACTTCATAACCACACGCACCGTATCACAATCACAAATAGAAACGGCTCAACCCATTAATTAATGTAAATTAATCTACTTAATCGCTTAAAAACGTATTTAAATTCATAATTATAATTATAATTATATAATTACTACAAGTTCTATTTTTTTAATACACTTCCCCAACAATACAACTGTTCATTAGATTAAAATAATTTTAACATAGTGCAACACAATTCTCGATAAGTAATAAATATAAACATATCAACTATTATTTAATAGAATGGCTGAAGACATCGTTTGTGATGTTACAGCGTAAATGTAAGTAGCAAATCCTCACTCAACAACAGCCGACGAGGGTCACAGTGTATTTAACCTTTTGAAGTATTACCAAATTGACTTGACCATTTGACCCGTTTCACCGGTTGGATTGCACTCGTGCACCAACTCCAGCATTTAGCTGTCTTAGTAGACTTACAATTATGTATGTTATGTACTTAAACAACAATAGTATCTTTTATTTGTCTCTCCTCTCTCTTTGTCTTTGTCGTCATCTTCATCTTTGTCCACATCTACATCATCATCATTTTTATTATCACCATCATGATCAGAACTATACTATGAAAAAAATCCAAGACGACTTATAAAACTGTGCCACTCAATTTTAAGCTCCTGCGGGTAGAAGTCAAATGGCCTTTCCGGTCCTTACTTGCCCCAAAATTAAGTTCATTTTATTTCCGTTTATTGACCGATGACTTCTTAATTTATTATTATTTTTTGTTCATTAGTTCACTCTGCCTCTCTTGTTACTTGGTTTTCAGTTCTAAAAAAAATTTAATTTAGATATTGTCACTGGTTATGCAAAGTGAACGCAACAATGAGTGTCCAAAGTGAAATTATTGTCAGTAATGTTGACAAGGGTGCTTCAAGACGCCGTGATCGATTGCAACCATTTTCAGAGCAAAATGCACAAGTGACAAGTGCTTCAGGATATGTTGCTTCGAAATTACAGTAAGTGCTTTTAGATCGTGATGGCACGCAACCTCGAATTGTTGTATGAATATTTTTATCTACAAACAGAGAATTTTTAATTAAAATTTCAGAAAATAAAACCTTATAAAATGTTAATGTAATAAAATAGCAGTTTTATTTATCTTCAAATTTTATTCCAGTTTTTTTTTCTTGCCTCACTTAGCTCTACCGTCCCAGTAAATACTTAATAGTAAGTAGTTGAATAATTATAAATTAACTAAGAAGGATAATGTTAATGATATTAATGTCTGTACCGATACAAGTAATGTATGTATTGTATACTTGTACATATATACTTTCTATCCAGTAGAATATAAAATAATTTGACTCGGCGATTGTCACGCGAGAACTTAATATTTACTGCTTGCGTCAACGACACGGAAAAGGAGTGATTAAAATATATGATTGTTGGCATGTTTGTTTTTACTTATTCGTTAGTTCTTGTCACAAACAAACGAATAATTATCAACCAAGAAGGCCTTTTTTAGAAGATTTTATTATTTTTGTGACACATATCAATGAATATAATATAAATATTGCGAAATACATTTAATGGAATAATGAAAAATCCTATGAATGACAGTTTATTTTTTAAAAAAAATGTCATGTACTGAATACGAGGAAACTTTTTAAACTAAGGTTTATTCAAAGCGGGACTTGCGTCACGTAAGAGATAATTAAATGTTAAATTGTTCTGTGATATATAATAGTAGTAGTAATAGTAATAGTAATAGTGTATATCTATATAATAAATGTGTCTGATGTTTATCAGATACTGTGGTCCACGATAAAGATAAAATAAATATGTTATTTTTCATGTTAAGCTTAAGACTTAGCATTGAAAATTATAAACTAAGTTTAATTTTCAAATAAGAAGGTAATTCAGTTGACTACAACGCGTTAACCAAGGCAAGATTATTCCTCTGAGGAGAGTTATACATGTGAATGGAGAAAATATAGAGCACGTAAATAGTTAACAAAACCTACACTAAAATGCAGCTGTGGTGATACTACTGTAGATACAGATATACAGTCTCATTACCAGGCTCTTTATCTTTAGTTTAAGTCACTTTACACATTGGCGAGAACCAAATGCGAATATGTAAAATAGAATAATTCCCTCTTCCCGTTTCACATACGTGTCCTCCATTATTTATTTTTATTTTCATCACTTGTAGTGCAGGTACATCTTTATTTCTTAGTCGTTTTATTTTTAAACTTTGTTTTTTTTTTCAGGTTAAATATTTTGTTTAATTTTAACGCTAAGTTGAGTATTTTGGTGTTGAAGTTGCCTAAAGTTTTTATGATATCTTTAGTAGAGTTTGTTTTAAAGTAGGACAATTAAATAATTACTTAATTTCTGGTATTTAAAAGTCACTGACGGATAAAACGAGTTAGTGACATTAATTATTTAGCTACTAAATCTCGGAATTTTAAAATAAACTAAAAAAATACTTTCACGGGTATTTTTTTAAGTTGTTGTAAATTATTAAGATATTTTGTGAAAGTAAAAAGTTGAAAGTTGCTAAAAAAATATTTAACAGTAAAATGATTAAAAAAATATAAATAATGTTTTTTAATTCTCATTATAAATACCATAAAATAAGAACTATAAAAAATTTAATTAAAATAACGTACAGAAAACAAAAGCTTTAAGACAGTGGTACGACTCATTGTCTGGACAAGCGACGAAATCGATTGATGGTGCCGGTGTGTATGGGTCATTGCAGTCTCCTCTGTGTCCCATCGATAGATCTGCATTGCATTTGTAGCACCAGAGTTTTTCTTCACATACTCCTTCTGCTTGATTAAACTCAGAGTTAATTACTTTTTACTTGATTAAATAAAGTGAAATAAGTGACATTGGAAAAAAAAAAAAAAAAAAAAAAAACAAAACAAAACAAAAATACTTACCTAGTATAAAGTAAAGCAGATAAATAAAAATAAAAAAAAATTTCATGCTCTCAAAATTGAATACGAATCAAGTACATTAAAGATACAAACACGAAGTGGCGTCTCGTTACTTACGTCGCGAACTGATAAGGTATCACACATAACACTGGTTAATGATTCAAACATGGGCCAACCTTCTGACAAGGATAAACAAACACCCGAGAAGAGTGGGAGAGTAGAGACGGCATTTTAATGTCCATGTGTATGTAGGTAAGTAAATCTTGCACACGAAAGACGAGCAAGAACTTTTCTCAACTTAGTACACCTATATTTTGTATGTATCTTTATATCTACACAGGTATATATAGATATATGGAGCAGTGCATGGTACAACTCAGAGAATGTCGGTATGGAGAAAGTGGAAAGAGACAACTCCCACGAGTCAGTACAACTTATTGATAAATTTAACTCGTAATCGTGATTTAGGAATAAAATAAAAGTTTAAATAAAAACATTGTAAATAAACCACCGCGTAATAGGTAACCATTTTTTATTGGTTTATACAATCCTCTTGGGTATATACTCGATACAATATTGTAATTGTAATTGTTATTGTATTGTAAATCTTTTTTTATTCGATTTTAAAGCTCAATACTCGATTGTTATTTCAATTATATTACGTAAACTTTATTTAAGTGTGTATATTTATACATGCTATTTTTTACATTCATTTTACTTTTATTGATATTTAACATCAATCCTTCACAATATTCTTTTTACGCATAGACTATTTTTTTAGGCACGTATTTATCTTTTTTTATATTTTTTTTATTATCGGTATTCAATAATAATTGCGTAAATAGTTTTATATTTTAGTTACTTATTAACACGATACATTTTTTCTTGTCTATATCTTTTTTTTTATTTTTTATTTTTATCGAATACAAATAATATGATTTTATTTTACTGGATAGTATAATGGAAGCTATGTGTTGCTGATTTTTTGGAAGCATAATTGTTCATATGATAACGATCACCATTATTGTGAATTTAATTATTTAGTTTACTTTTTTGAATGTTACCTACCTAATGTTAAATAAAATCCTCATAATAATAATAATAATAATAATAATAATAATAATAATAATAATAATAATAATAATAATAATAATAATATAATATTAATACAATTATTACAAAAAATGTATTATATATAATATAATAATATAATATATATTTATAAATATCAATATATAGGCAGGAATATTATAGATATAAGTGCGAAAATATACATAATTATTTAAATATATATAAGTAGTTAAATAGAAAAATTATTAAAGTGTGACTAGTATGTATTTTATTACAAATAATTACTAAATTTTTTATTTATACTGCAATGTTCGGGTGAATTTTTTTACTCAAACTAAAATGTACTTTCAGGAGGGAATTAAACGATTGTTATGACGCAGGATTATGTAAATAATGTCTTAATTAATACCAGACATTTTATTTACTAACGAAAATAATTTTAAATAAATAAATAGAGGAGCGAAGCAAGCACTTATTTCTTTTAATTATAAGTATATTTGTTATTATTATTATAATAAGTATATTTTATTTGTTGCTGTTCTTGTTTTTAATTGTTGTTATTGTTTTTGTCGGTTTCTTAGGCTGTTCAAAGGCGTCACTGTGAGAAAATTATACCAGCAATTAGATATACAAAGCCAAATACGAGCCATGGTAATTGGACGTAAGTGCGAACAATAAAGGCTGCGAACTAAATAATCCGTTACGCTATTAGGTAGGAAAGGCCCATGGAAAGTGTGCCCAAGACAGAAATAAACGTCACTATCAACGCTGATGACTGGGTACCAGAGCCGTTGCATTTATCACCTTCGCAAATGTCACATGATAATACCGACGCACTACTCCGATAATCTTTTTTAGCTTTTTCCTGCATCGATTGACATGGTTTTACTACCTCTGTTGGAGCAGTCTGGCAGGTTCTGACCAACACATTTTCCGCTCCGACTGTTAAAAAAATAATTATTTTAACAATATTTAGTTTTTTTATTTTTAAAAAATTTATTTATTGAATTTTTAGGACTTGGAAAATTTTGTCTTTTTAAAATTAGTCAATCGTATTTTAGCTTTATTCATAAATACTATGATTTATGAAAAGATTCTTCCATAAAATTGAAAAAATTTTTTAATTCTTTATTCTGAGGTATTTCTTTTTTCTTTTCAATTAGAAAGAGTTTCCTAAATAAATTTTTAAATTACTTACAATTATTGCAACAAACTTTTGTCAATAGATTCAATAGATAAATTAAAAAAAAAAAAATTGTATAAACTTATAAAAAATTGTATTAATTTTGATAATCTTCCAAATCAGTTAAATTCAACGATAAATATAAAGTCATTATTATTGTCAAAAATTTTATAAAATTATTGAAGTTATTCAACTAAAAAATGAAAGATCATTTATCAATAAGTATACCTTTGAGATGAATCTTAAGACAAGACATTGGCATTTTGGTCTTCGATAGATGCTCTTTAGGCGTGTCAACCGCAAAAAGATTTGAAATGTCAGTCATAGTTGGATTACTTTGTAGTTTTGACTCAAACGCTTTCATCGTTGATAAATCGCAGTCGACGACGTAGTTTTTGTCATCAGATTTAGCTACAATGTCACCATTACACTCGTCAGTTCCCGAACCTACGGCTATGCATTCGTAGCATTTTATGGCTTCTCCTACAAAAAAGGATAAACTGATATTGAGTGTTGGGCTGAAACCTTACATGATCCCCGGAAGAGATTTTAAATAAAATTATAAGTAAAAAAAAATAAACAAACTTAATATAAAAAGAGTAAAAACTTAACTTGATGCTAAAATTGAAATATTTTGCATTATAATAAGCGACAAATTTATCTGTGACTTTATGTCACCGTGCGTGATTACTCGTTATCAATTCATTGATGATAACAATCAGCAATTAATAAGATATATTTATGCGCTACCTATTTGATTGTCACATTTGATAATATTCCAGTCGCAGTGATAAAATATAGGGTTGAATTATTTCATTGAGTTTGAAACATATTTACTCTGCTGGTCGTGTCGTACAAACAATGATGATAATAATAATTACACTAATCATGTCGAGAGATATACGTAATTGATTACATGCAATAAAATAATCAAATAATCATCAAATAGACTGATTGATAAGTTAACCCCTGTTATTATTGTGATTAAAATTATGGTGCTTGTTTCATATGAAGAATAATAATAAAATCTCGTTGGACACGCTTTACTCGACAATTTATTAGCGACTCGTGTTACTATATAATTATCCGAGAGAAACTAGAGAGCTGTAATGTGAATCTTTTTTTTTAATGAATGTAAGTACAGAAAAAAATTATATCGATTTTTACATGATAGAATACGTTTGGATTTCTAGTAAAAAAAAAAAATAATTATTATTATCAATGATCATTATCGAGTTATAGCTAACGATCAATAACTATTAGACATCAGTTTAAAAATTAATATGTACAATCATTAATTATACTAATAACTTTCGAATTGGAAAAAAAAATTTTTAAGTTTCAATATTTTAAATTTATTTATTTGAATTTAAAGTCAATATAAAAATCACTTTTGTATTTAATTTAACTCAAATTGAAATATTAATGAAAGCAATAATAGTTGATGTGAATGATAATTCAGTTAATTTATAATCTAAGATCATTAAATGTCAATGGAAATTAATTCACCTCAATAATTAAAGAGCATATAGTGTGAGAAGACCACAGTCATTCAATTGTGGTTTACGTAATATTCAAATGTTTTAATCAATTTTCAGTGTAATATAGATGTACATATAGATCAGAACAGAAGGGTACTTAAAACTGTCTTACCTAAAGTTCATGGCAATTCAACAATATTAAATTACTTCTGACAGCGGTCTATTTTAAAGAACGTCAAATAAACACGGCTTTAGCTGAAGTCAACGGAAAAAAAACGACTGAACAAGGGACAGCCGAAAAAAAAAAGAATAATTTTTTTAATCATCATTATCGATTATTTTGTTAGAGTTGCAGAATTAGTGTATTAATTAAAATAAATTTGTAAGTTTGTGACACCATTATTCAAGTTATGGGTAATTAAATTTACATTTATCCATGGTTTTGAAATATGTATGCAGGGTAGACTTTACAGTGGTAAAGTTTTCTATTGTCATGCTAATGCGGAGGGATGTTGATGTAAGCTTCTAGTGAGTGAGTATATAAAGAAGAGTGCGTTTCTCCGGCTGTTGTCGATGACGAAACAGCTACTCATCCCGTGCCCTATAACCGTCAAATTAGGCCCACGCGATACGAGGGTTAAACTAATCGATAATGATAATAATCCATACAAGTAAGCACTGGCAGCCCTTGACGAGGATCACGAACTTCTAACTATATTATTATCGCTCACTTTTTCTGTTCGTTAGTCATTATACTCCATCTCCTTCACTTTATTATTAATTATTATTATAATTTATTACTTTTATTTTCTCCATTCATTTGAATTTGTAATTTTTGTTTACGTTTAATTACAGATAATTAATCACAACAGTGTTCATTAATGCAAATCTGTTGTTGATTTATGATGTAATTTATTCTCGTCATCAAATTTTGTTTATTAAAAAAATAAAAACTTTTTTTTTTTTTTCATTTTTCAATTAAATTTTGTTGATAAAATTATTTGTAGGAGAGAAAATTTTATAACTAAGTTCTAGTTTTGTTTAAATGAGATTTATACTTGGAAAATTAAACTATCAATAAAATTATGGTAATCTCATTTTAAATGTACAAATTTATCCATCAAATTAAGTTTCACAAATTTGTTATTTAATTTCGTTCTAATGAAACAAGCAATCTATTTAAAAAAAATATCATTTTTCTAGACGCCTAATTAATTGTTAAAATTTTCGTGGATAGAATTAATATTTCACCAAAAATTATTATCATAATTTTACTTCAGTACCAAATATTGAAAAGCCATTAAGTAAAATTATGGATATTCACTATATTAAAACAATTTATAAAACAGATAAATAAATTCACCAAAAAGAAATGTCAAAAAAAAAAAATATAAAGAGTTAAAAACAAGTCACCTGAATAAACGGCAAGTGTAAACACAAGCACAAAACTGAGAAGAACTTGTGTAAATTTGGATTGCATGTCTATCCTCGTGTATTTCTCACAGTCGACTATGAAGCTAGCGTCCGAGTTCGAAGGAGGGTGAACGGCGTATATTCGTGGGCGTCGCGGTGGTGGCGCGGCAAAAAAAGTCTTGTCGACGAGCAGTCGGCGAGGGGCTGACGAAGCGCGAGCGTGATAGCGAGTCACCGAGAAAGGGAGCCGACACACTCAATAAAAGGGAGAGATACTGTTCTCTACTTATGTATTCATGTAAATAAATACGTCTACATAAATACCTCACAGTACAGTCAGAAATGTGTTTGACGAGGACAGAAATCGGGAATGTTGTCATTGCTATACTGTTGCAATCCCAAGCGCAAAAACTACGCGGTGTTTTATACTCTAGTTTCAAAATTCCTTCGTTTCACTCCATAGGTAGCATTTTATCTTATTATTAACGAATAGAAATTTCCATTTTTTTTTCTCATATAAGTTTGCCTCAAAAAGTTCAAAAATAAAACCACAACACACCTATATGTAATAAAAAATTTTGGTATTAATATTATTTATCTAGACACGAATGTAATACGTAGTAGACGCACAAAAATTTTCCCCTAGTTCCCTCATTTCCTTGCTTTCCCATTCAATATTTATTACTTACAGATCACTTATTTTCCCTCCATCCGTTCTCCGATTACACTACTGTACTCCTAGATTTCTCTCTGCTTCGATATATCAAGCATTTTCTCCCCTTCTACACCCCTCGACACAACACTACACAGGTTCGCCTATTACGGATGCTCTTACAAGCCTTCCGCCGTCTCGTGACTCCACAGCTTGAGCAAACACGCGTGTTCACGCTCACGCAACAGAATAGAAATTAATGTTCCAAAATCTACTGACACCACTCCGATATCTGCCGTCATATTACATTAGATAATAATTATGTACGCACAAATATTTATCAAAAATTCCTAATTAGTCAATATGGAATTTTTTTAATGTAGAGAGTCAACTATTTGATGCTTTTTAATATAATTTTTGCGACCTGTGCTCAAAACAGAAGTACTTAACATATCTATAATAAAACAATTCCAATGGAAACCACATGTTATACGAAAAAAAATAACCGGACTGAAGGTATTCTCTGAAGTTCGTCAATTTTATCAAAATTTAATGTTGATTTTCTTTTTAAAGGAAAATATGAACAATTATTGGGGGGTAAGAACTTCTTAATTGTTTACTTAAAAATTTGTAACTATATTCTGTGCAAATAATTACAAACCACAAGTGTGAAGTTCGATGCACGAGGCGTCAACCGAAACTAGATAGTTCAAATATTCTAAACTTTAATTAACACAACACAACATAAAATGTCAAACCCCATTTTTTATATCACAGTATACTTCTATTGCGAGGTTTATAGGTCGGGTATCAGTCCTAGTACAGTTTGTTATTTTTTTTTATTTTATATTGACTGCAAAATGACTCGACGGTTCTAGTGAAGTCTTAAAAGCCAATAAAAATGAAATTAGATTTTTAAAATAGATTTTTTTTTATTTTCATAAAATAGTAGATATTAAACGAGCGACTTGGCTGAAGGAGGATAAAAAAAGGTCGCGAGTGTTTTAACAAAAGACTTTCAAGTAATGCTGAGTATAATGTATTATATATATATATATATCTGAGGAGACAAAGAGATGAAATGGAGAGCTAAGTGATAAAATAAAAGCTCTAATATACTCAGAGATACCGCTTCTGTCTAAAAGGCTAATTTTTACGTATTTTTTCTGAACATTGCTCTGTATATAATAATGTATTACATTTAGTCAGAGTAGAGTATTAAAAGATAGGTATATAACGGCGCCGGAACGTCCAGCAGTTGGACCATAACATACATGTCAGCACACATGTCGTCGGATTGAGACAATAACTAATTACAGGATTGCTCAGCAGGGTTGCTGAGGGCAGTTAGCATGGCAGCACTTGGTATTTAATGTCGATGAGATATTTTGTTTTACGATTGACTTTTCTGTGTCACTCAAACTGTACCGTATCCATGTTACGTAGTCTAGTACCGGCCATACAATTTCGTATGGAACGAATTGTTCTTTAAACTAGCCCAGTCTTTATTATTGTCGGGACATTAGTGACTGGTTCCCGGGAAATCGCTGCAATTTCAATTGTAATGGAGTCAACCTCTATAAATATTATTTTATTTTGTTCTGAGTATAAGTTTCATCTAAAAATTGTTCACTTGAATTATTCATAAATATATAAATGTGTTTTCGGCAAGTCTGTTTATAAATATTTAAATTAATTTATTGTTTATTTTTACATATAAATGGATATAGAGAGGAGCTTTGAAATATCGGAAATATCAATTGATGTGTCTCCACAATAAAACACTTTTTGGTATCGCGTAGTCGTAATTGACAATAAATCCCTTTTAATAAATTTTCTTAATTTTCAGAATTTTAGCTTGAAATATTTGAAATAAATTTTTTATTTTTTTGTCTTAAACTGTAGGTTTGTAGATAAGTATTATATATTTTCTTTGCAGATATATATGTGTGTAAAGCATTAGTATGAGAGCTAGTTGATAAATTAAATTACCGCAGCGTGTCTTGGACTCGTCGGCATTCACAACTCCTTTAGTTTGTCCTTTTATCATTGTCCTGGCTCTTTCTAGCTGGGTTGATCGCCGCGGCTGTCCTCCTTTGGCTCGTATTATACCTAAATAACGATCTAAAGCTTTGGAAACGCGCGAAATGAGGACAACAGCTGCAGGGGTCATAAAATTTTCATTGACTCTCGTCTTGCTCGGCTGTCGTCAACCTTTCCTTCAGTACAGCTATCGCACGCCGTCAGCCACTCAAATTTAAACTTGACAGCTGACCATTTTTTTCCATCCCCGCTGCTGCCTTCAACACATTTTTTTTTTTTGATTTTTTTTTATTAGTTCTACTTATATATATATATATATATATATATATATATATATATATATATACTGAGTAAAGTTGAATATTCATTGGGCACAGTAGGAAGTGTACCGTCAGCTAAATTAGACATAATCAAATTGCTTTTTTATTTCTATTTTTATTTTTGTTTACTCATCAAACTCTATTCATTTTGTAATTAAAGAAAAAATCTTTAATACGGGTATTTTTATTTGCAATGTAATTTTTTTATGAGTTCACACTTTTTGTGAGAGTTAATTCTCTTGTTTATTTATAATTAATTAAAATTGTCACTTTCTAGTGAATAATTAATTAATTAAACAGAATAAAAGCTTTTATTCAACCACAAATGTAATTTTAATTAAAAACAAAAAAAAATTCTCTAACTTCCATTAATCGTATTTCGAATTTTAAAGCGAGAGTAAACTATACAGTATAGAGTGTAACTTTATTATTTAAAAAATAATAAAAAATGTCCGTTTGATTTGAGTTAGCTCATAAAGTTTATGTAAACCCGTATCATGCTCAAAAGCACCAATTACATCTGGAGTGTAACGAACTAAACTACTCACTCCAAGCGATTCTTTATCCACTCTGTATAAGAGTCAACGAGGGTAAAGCAAACGAAAAACCGTGAGAGTTACTTTGGCAAGCTTTCCACTCAGTAATTTTAAATTCAACTCGAATTATTATATTTATTTTACCTAATATATAATATATATTATCGATATTACCATTAAAGCGAATTGATTTGTTAAATATATTAAGTAGCAAATGTATTTAGGATTTGGATTACGGACGCATTTGTCGTTATTTTTATCATAATGTTAAATGCATTTTTCAGATTCAAGATAACAGGCTTGGAAGAAGTAATTCCATTAGGAAAAGGATGATTCATCGCCAGAGGGATGGTTTATTCCGTACTCTCCTCGACTTCCGCACCGCGAAACCAAAAAATATGTAAGCCAAATAAAAGCCAAAGCCACGGCTAAGCGCAGGAGAAGGGATAGACAAGCGTGAGTAAAGTTGTCGACCTAAATCGAATGGCGATCGGCATTGTTATTGTTATTTATGTATATTTATTATTATTTTGATTATTATTTCAGCTGGAGGTCTATCAGTGGGGGTTATACGACTGAATGATATACAACGTGCTCATATGTCATGCGGACATAGGGAGTAGCAACGGGTACTCAGAGTTTTCATCCCTTAGGCTACTGCGCTCCGATGTATAAAATCGGTAATGGTTTATGCTCACGTTTATATTCGCATACATTTATACATAAATATATGTATGTATATATGTATATATGGGTTCATGGGTGTAGTAGTTTTGATGATATCACGCGTAACGACGCTCAGCTTGTGAGGGTGGGAAAAAGTGGATGTAGATATGCCGGCTGGCGCCAACGTGACCATTGACGCTGGTATTGGGCGCCGACGCGCTGGACTCGTTTAGTTAGTGTTGTAGATATTCTCTGACGTGATTTTTCATTATTTAACAAATTTGTCCTTTTATTTTTATTAAATTGGACGAATTGCTCAGACCTCTACTTTTTATAATTTTAACAACTTTTCTCTCCGGAGTTACTGCTGATTAAATTAATTGAATTTTTTACGACAGGACATAACTGCATGAAGTAATGGCTAATTAAAAATTTTTATCTCAGGTATTAAATATCAGGGTTTTTTTTTTATTTTTACGAAATCTAGAAATAAGCTATTGAAGAAAATTATTCCAATATCGTAACATGAAACCTCAACATTGTTAGCAGTTAAATTTTTTTGTGGCTTTAGAGATTTAAATTTTTCCAATAGTTTATTTGACAACTGAATGATGTAAAATGTTTTTTTTGTTTTTTTATTGAGTCATGAGCATTTGAAAGCTGGAATTGAAGCTGCAGTTGATTTTCACATTTTTTACACTCTTCAAACTTCTGCAACGCTTCGCAAATTGACGTTCCTAAATTATTGTTTTTATTTTGATTTGAAAATATATTTAAACTTAAATAAAAATTTTTTTTTATTGACTATTTTTGATTTTAAGTGAAAATAAGTAAATGTATATTTTAAAAGTTTACTACGTTTGTTTTTACTAAAGAGTTATTTCAAGAACTTGTAAATAGAACACTTGAAAATATTTACCAACAATTTATTTGAGTTTGTCGAAAATAATTTAGTAAATAATTTTTTATTGACAACTTAACTGTTTTTTGAAGTAAACGAATACTCGCGTGGGATTTAAAGATCTGAAAATGCGATTTAAAAACAATAAATTTAATGCATCGAGAGAAAAAAAACTAGATGATGAGAGTATCTACAGACAATTTAATGTTATATATATGTA